GCCTAATTTATATTTCTTCCTTATTCCACATTTGGTGAAGTATATTCGCACCAATTTCATCCTAATCAGTTGGCTCAATCCTGAGATATTAGGATTATGGAGGCCTGCAGAGTGTCTAAATCTAGCTCTACTTCAAACTTTACCTGTTTAGAACGTGCTGGAACCCGTGCCTAAACTCGTGCTCGTACGCGGGAATTGTGACCTGTTTCCGCTTGAACTGACTGGATTCCAGACGCACCAGTGCTGCCGGCGTGGGTTCCCGATAATCGGGAACCAACACAATAAAACTTAACGGTTCTAGAGTGTCGTCCAGCAGTCCTTCCATGTGAATCACAGCTGCTTCCATCAGCTCCTCGCAGTAAGGTGGATTGGCTTGAAATGACCCAGACAAGGCTTTTAGGTTCAAGAAGGGCCTGCAAAAAGTAGTAACTTGCTCATACCGATTCGACCAGTTGGAAAAACTTCTGCTAAAAACGCTTACCCTCTGCTTCCAAAATACGAGTCGCAGTCCGCAAAAGCAGAGCAATATTGGCGAAAGTAGCAATTTAATGGGGAAGCAAAGCATTCGAATGTAACACCAAATGTCTTGTTGAGGCACTCGAACGCTGTTACAGGAAGTGACTGCTGAGTGTCTCGGATATCTGGATTGGCGTTGTTTGGCGTCGGGTTGACCCCCAGAAACGTAGCGTACCGCTTGAGCATGACCCAGACCCGGGGAATAAACAGTTCAAATTTTCGGTCGTCGAAACAATTGTGTCTGTACAAGTGTTCCTGGAAAAGTGCTCCTATTAACAATTAGAAACGAACAGTGAAAATTTCGGCGCCATCAAAGCCGTCAAAGGTTTCTGTTGTATGAGGATTGTGCAGGGTTTTCTGGAATACAGGGTGATTAAAAATTGGCGTCATTCCTCTGGAGGTGTTGTCTAGCGCTGTTATAGGAGTACAAACAAAATAGTAAAAGAAATTAACTGTTTTGAAAAACTGAGAAATTTGCAAAAAACTATATTAGAAATACGGCAGCAATGTTTTTCAAGATAATCTGCCTAATTAACATTGTGCAAATACCTGTTGCTTCGTAATTATT